CTACCCACCGCAGGAAAGTCACTGACAAATCTGTTGACTGCTGTCTACATGACAAATGTCGGTTTTGGGTACGTCGGGATTCATTACGTAACATGGCACTGTCATGACAGCACACCCACTTTGTAGAGCATGAGTTAAAAAAAAAAGAGGCAAAGCTATCCCTGTAACAGGCCGTGGAGGCCCATAGGGTTGTGAGACGTCGAGGCTCCCACATTTTCTCCAGATAACCGGCTCACAGATGGCGGTGAGGTTGTCAGCCTTAAGCGCCGGCCGCCCTTGACCCCCAAGAAGATTCCTGGTAGTCATTTCTGTTATGGGTTGAGTCGAACAAAGGGCCATAGTGCGGCTGGAAGGATTAGGTCAATTGAAACATCCGGTGACTTCATCGGGAATGGAAACCGCGACCTTCCGGCTTGTAGCATAGTGCCTAAACCAACTGCGTTACCGTGTACTAAAATGTATCTTAGACAGATAGGATGTTGTGACATGGACTAGATTTATCTGGCTCAGGATACGAACCAGTGCAGGGCTCTTGTGAACACGGTAATGAACATTCGGATTGTATAAAATTTTGGGAAATGCGGAGTGCCTGAGCAACTGGCAGCTTCTCAGCAAGGGCTCAACCCTACGCAGTTATTTAGTTAGCCCCTGTTTGCCCAAACCGGGCAACTGCCCCTACCATTCACGCCACGGGTCTGCTGGACCAGAATCTACGTCTACGCGAACAAGCACGTACCTCCGAAACGTCGGCATAACTTTCCATATCCACACTATGCCGAGCGGGCTGCTGTAGCGTTATGTTCCAGTCTCAGCTCTGTCACAGGCTATCGCGGAACAGGATTTTCGTTGTTTTTCTCAGTTACTTCAGGCAAATGCTGGGATAGTACTTCGATCAGGTCACAGCCGCTTCCTGCCAAATCCCTTCCAATTCAGCTATTATCTACTACTTGACGCTGTGCAGTCTAGATAATGATGGCCTCGTACAAGCCACGAAACAACACTAAGTCAATATTTGGTCCTTACTTTGAATTGGAGAGTACTGTGTGCCTCTAAACCAGGGCTGGACCTACTGAGGGGACGCAACATGAAGAACATCCTATACTCCATCTGCTCTACGAACAAGGGTACGTCATATCTTGCGTAAGCAACCCTAAGGAAGAAAATTCTTTCGTAACTTCGAACTTCCCAACGACGCATGAATAGCACAACTGTCTCCGTCGAAAATGGTACCTACTAAATCTGTAATGATGACGTAACGGTCTACGTCACTAACTGACGATGACGCGTGCTCGTTCCAAAAGCAGATGAAGCATATCCCGTCGCAACTTGCTAATATAGCAGTGGGAGGAAGAAAGAACTTTCTCCCGGAACTCTCACTGAAATGAGACATGCTACCAATAATGTAAAGGTAAGGATTATCGCACTAAATGAACACTTGCAGAAGAATATTGTGTGGTAAGGTAAAGCTGTCCCTGTAACAGGCCTTGGAGGTCCATAGGGTTATGAGACGTCGAGGCTCCCACATTTTCTAGACAATCGGCTCACAGATGGCGGTGAGGTTGTCAGCCTTACGCGACGGCCGCCCTTTACCCCCCAGGAATATTCCTGGTACTCATTGATGGAAATATAGTGATCATGCTATGGGCTTTGCTGCAGAGGAGTCTGGGCTCCATTCCCAGCAGTGGAAGATATTTTGTTTTGTCCACAAAGTCCAGCGTTGGAGAAAATTGTTTTCTCCGTCTTCTTCTACCCTGATGTATAAGGCACATTTCCAACTTCGTCAAGAACGCCTAAGAGTTTCACAGCGGCGTTCATTCCATATCTCCAAAATCAGATATCTTTTCCGATGGCGACACACGCTTAATCCAAGCTACATATGAGATAGGTTTTACCGAAAGGGATATCTTCGGTCTGATGAAAGGAACTGCATTCTCACAATCCCTTCAAATGTTTCTGCCTTCCGAAGGATAGAGTTTCGGAACCATTCATATGAGGCAGACATAAATATAACAATTCTTGAATACTCCCTCACTCAGGAACCAGCCAAGTGCCAGGACAGAGATGAAGCCCCCAACATAAAGCCAGAGGATGTGATAATGTGGTGCGTTGTGGGCTATCACACACCTCAGGGAGCTGTGATAGATTAGTATGGAGCAATGGTGGAATGGAAATTAGCACGGAAAAACAAAAGATATTTTGGAGAAACCCCTACAGTTCCACTTTGCCTATCACGAGCCTCACATTAAATCACCTGGGATTGAACTGAAGGCTGCGCAGTGAGAAGCCAGCGTCAATCCGTCTGAGCTACTGCGCATGTCTGCATTTAATTAAATCTGTACGGCGTGGCGGTATGGCCTCTACGAAGAAACGAATTTGTACACAACTTCGGCTGATGTTCTTGACACGGTTTCTCCAAGTCAAGGCGGGAATCCCGTATTACAGCGGAGCATCGCCCCCAAACACAAGTCACATTTAGATGACAGTAACTAACACACGTAATTTGTTACCTGACCACTGGATATATATTCTTAGCGTTATGTAACATGGAGAATTATAAGTAACTTCATTAAGTTGTCTCTCTTGGCAAGCCACAACTATTCGGCCACTCAAGAAATTCTCAGTATTTCAAAGAATTAGAAAGTTCATTAAAGCGTTCAAAACAGCCAACCACTGGTCCCTATCCGGAGTCAGATGAATTCAGTCCACATCCTCCCATTCTAATTCTTAAATATTAATTTTAATATTATCCTCCAATCTACGTCTAGATATTCCTACTACAAAAATCTTGTATCCATTTCTAATCTACGGTCAAACGTTTCTGACCATGGGGTGTAACTGAATATGAAACTCTCTTCTCTTAAAACTTACGACGGAATAAGATTCATCTTCCTTAAAAAGGGCAACACGATGCACAATGTGCAAAACAGTAACAACGGATGCTGAAAATTCTCTTCAGAGTTCGCGGACGACAGATATAATATACATAAATTCAGTTCGTACCTCACGCCACTCCGTTTTCATAACAACGACCAACCGGTTAATGCCGTTTAGGGAAAAAGTCGCTGTTTATTGTGACAACCATACGGAACACACAGATACACTGTGTGGGCAGAATATATAGCAATTCAGTCCGTACCTCACAGGAAACACATTACGTCTCCGCTACAAAGCCCAACCGCTTAATGCTGTTTAGGGAAACAGTCGCTGTTTACTGTGAGAACCATACGGAACACACAGATACACTCTGTGGGCAGAATATATAGCAATTCAGCCCGTACCTCACAGGAAACACAATACGTCTCCGTTACAAAGACCAACCGGCTAGCGCTGTTTAGGGAAACAGTCGCTGTTTATTGTGAGAACCATTTGGAACACACAAATATATTGTGTGCGCATAATGCAAAGTTCTTTACATGTTAAAGCAAGTGGTACACATAATTATCACTGTGATTTAAAGGATCACAATCCAGCTTAAGTTGTGTACTTTTTATAAATTGTAATAAATATTAGAAATGGTCTCACAAATTCTCAGACCTGTCTTCGCGCCTTCTCATCGGACCAATAAAAACTATGCAATCGGTTCAACGTAACAGATAATACACCTGCTGAGAAGATCAGGGACAGCTCAGTGAATGTAGTGACTAGGCTACAGCCTGGATGACTGAGGAAATTGGGTTCTATATCCGACAGGGACAAGAGACTTTTTCCTCCACAGCGTTCAGACCAGTTCTGGGGCCGAATACTGTTTTCGGAACTCTGTTCTCCAACGGTCATACTTCAAACTGTAGAAAGTTTATAACTTGTACTCCTGCCAAACATTATTTGAATGACCAAATCAAATACGATTACATAGGCAGGGCACGTAGCACGACTTGGGGAGAAGTGCATACAGAGTTACTGGAGGAACACCGGAAGGATAGTGACAAATGGAAAAATTGGCGTATATGAGAGTATAATACTAAAATGTATCTCAAAGATATAAGTCGGTAGGCTCTGAACTGGGTTCACCTGTCTCATGATAGAGACCAGTGATGGGCAACTGTGAACCCGGTACTGAACCTTCCGAGTTCCACAAAATACTGGGAATATACTGAGCAACTTAGCAGCCATTATTTTCTCAATGATGATGCAGTACCTTGGCGTTAGCTTCTTATTATTAGAGACATTATTACCAAAACTCTGCATTCTGCCCTCAGTGTATTTATGTGCTCCTTATGATTCTTACAATAAACAGCACCTGTTTCTCTAAACAGCATTAACCGGTTGGGCTTTGTAGCGGAGACGGGGTCTTTCCTGTGAGGTACGGACTGAATTGCTATATATTCTGCCCACAGCGTATCGTCCGTTTCGTATGGTTCTCACAATAAACAGCGACTGTTTCCGCAAACAGCATTAACCGGTTGGGCTTTGTAGCAGAGACGTAATGAGTTTCCTGTGAGTACGGACTGAATTACTATATATTCTGCCCACACATTGTATTTGTCTGTTCCGTATGGTTCTCACAATAAAGAGCGACTGTTTCCCTAAACAGCATTAACCGGTTGGGCTTTGTAGCTGAGACGTAATGTGTTTCCTGTAAGGTACGGACTAATTTGGTAAATATTAGTTACAAGAAATTCACTCATTTGCAATAGCATTCTTATGACATGTTTCAGGATCTAATCTCGTGTAACTGGGTCATCATCAATCTCAAAATGTACATTTCCTTAGGCATAAGAGATACCACAAAATAAGTAATGTCGCGGAATAACCCAAGTTGGTAAGCACTCCAATATGATAATGCAACAAAGAAACTCACAGTGTATGGGGGAGTGAGGTGGGGAGTCGCTGAGACATCCTGGAGCAACCAAGCACACCCTCACAGAGTCAGCAAGAATAATAAGAGGAAAAAAGTAGAAGGGAGAGAAGAAATTTTATGGGAAAGGGTTGGAGGAGAAGAAGAAGAGAGATCTGCTATAAAGTCCACATGCTGACACACATTCCTGCAGTCAGAAGAAAGTGAGACGTTCAAGAAACAAGTGGAAGACTGTTGCTACGATACGTGGATTGCAATTGTTTCACAGGTCAGTGATACTGCATCACGCTTTAACGTGTTAAAAGTTTTTAAGCGATAAACGTATGTAAATGCTGCAGTATTTAATATTTCAGTCCGTACCTCACAGGAAACACATTACGTCTCCGCTACAAAGGCCAGCCGGTTAATGCTGTTTAGGGAAACAGTCGCTGTTTATTGTGAGAACCACACGGAACACACACATACACCGTGTGGGCAGAATATATAGCAATTCAGTCCGTACATCACAGGAAACTCATTATGTCTCCGCTACAAAGCCCAACCGGTTAATGCTGTTTAGGGAAACAGTCGCTGTTTATTGTGAGAACCACACGGAACACACACATACACCGTGTGGGCAGAATATATAGCAATTCAGTCCGTACATCACAGGAAACTCATTATGTCTCCGCTACAAAGCCCAACCGGTTAATGCTGTTTAGGGAAACAGTCGCTGTTTATTGTGAGAACCACACGGAACACACACATACACCGTGTGGGCAGAATATATAGCAATTCAGTCCGTACATCACAGGAAACTCATTATGTCTCCGCTACAAAGCCCAACCGGTTAATGCTGTTTAGGGAAACAGTCGCTGTTTATTGTGAGAACCACACGGAACACACACATACACCGTGTGGGCAGAATATATAGCAATTCAGTCCGTACATCACAGGAAACTCATTATGTCTCCGCTACAAAGCCCAACCGGTTAATGCTGTTTAGGGAAACAGTCGCTGTTTATTGTGAGAACCACACGGAACACACACATACACCGTGTGGGCAGAATATATAGCAATTCAGTCCGTACATCACAGGAAACTCATTATGTCTCCGCTACAAAGCCCAACCGGTTAATGCTGTTTAGGGAAACAGTCGCTGTTTATTGTGAGAACCACACGGAACACACACATACACCGTGTGGGCAGAATATATAGCAATTCAGTCCGTACATCACAGGAAACTCATTATGTCTCCGCTACAAAGCCCAACCGGTTAATGCTGTTTAGGGAAACAGTCGCTGTTTATTGCGAGAACCATACGGAACACACAGATACACTCTGTGGGCAGAATGCAGATATCATTTCGGTGTTAAAAGTGAGTGGTACTATATATGGTTAAAATAAAATTTTAATAATAAATACCACACGTGTGGACATTAATAAACGAACAATTCTGCCAAGACTGTGTACTTTTCACGGTTCTCCCAACGGACATCGATTATTTTCCTGAACAGCATTAACAGGTTGCAAGTTGTTTGGAGATGGGTTGTGTTTCCTGTGAGGTACGAAATTAATGCAAAATAGGCTTATTATTCAATAAAGTTAGATGAATTTCAGGATTTCACGCGGTAGCGTAGTTGCTTGAGGGGCTATGCTACAAGCCGGAAGGTCGCGGGTTCTAGTCCCGATGAGGTCATTCGATTTTTTTTAATTGACCTAATCCTTCCAGCCGCACTATAGCCCTGGGGTTCACTCAGCCCCTAACAGAAATGAGTACAAGGAATTAATTAAATAATTTTCCTGGGGGGTAAAGCTCGNATGTGGCGCCGTGTAGACATATTATAAACCGACGTTTCGGAGAATCGTATTGCCTCCATCTTCAGGGTAGAAAAAATCCGCTAGTTCCTCGCTCACGGATTTTATTTTCTTTTTTTTTTTTTTTTTTTACTTTACATAGCTCAAGCGGTCAACAGCTGCGTCTAAGTGCGAAAATAAGCGGTTACATTTTTCCTTCCGTTAAGACGGTCACTTCAGGTTTGGAACCTCATCGAGGGAAAGCTACAAATCTGTACGGAAATGATTCACGGGGAACAAGAAGTTACGCAGTCTTCATGAACATGTCACCATAACTAGAGTACTCCTACTAGCGGGCGACTTAGCCAGCGGTAACGAACTAAGACTAATGCTCGGAAAGTGCGAGGTTCGAATCTCAGCATGATATCTACTATTTTTACGCTCTTCGTGGTTTTCCTTATTTCTTCCAGATAAATGCCAGAATAATACTCTGAGTAAGCCACGACCGCTTCCTTCCAAATCCTTTCCAATTCACATTCATCCTACTATCCGCTGTATAGTCTGCCTACCGAGAGCATCGTAAAACATCCCATATACGCACACAACTCCCGCTCCTTGGACGAGTTTTGCTTGATATGAACTGTTCTTACATAAAATTATAAATTTCTAATTTATTTAATGGCATCAGTAACTCATTTGTGACGTCACTTCATTCCCTCGTTGTGAATAATAAATCTGAAAAGTTCTGGGAGGAATTTTTGGACATTGACTGTACAAGTACCATCTGATAATGACAAAAAAATAGCAGCCGAAACAAGCCGTAATGCATAAACTGTATAGTGATCACAGAATTATATACATTTTGTGTGACTGAACTGAATTAAAACATTTTACACACTATCTAACTTCATGGAGCTGAATCCTTCTTGAGAAGCCGCCAGTTGTGCAGCTACTCAAGAACTTCCCAAACTTTTATGGAAGGTTCATTACCGTGTTTACAAGAGCCCTCCACTGGTCCCCATCTTGAGCCAGATTGATCCAATTCATATTACCCCATCCCAGCTAAGATTCATTATCTCATATCCACCCACCTACGTCTTGGTCCTCCTAGTGTTCTCTTTCCTTCTACTTTTCCCACCAATATCCCATATACATTCGTCTCCACCATTCGTGCTACATGCCCTGCCCACCGCATCCTCCTTGACTTCATCATTCTAATTATACCTGGAGAAGAGTACAAATTATGAAGCTCCTCATTATGCAGTTTTCTCCAACCTCCTGTCACTTCATCCCTCTTCGGTCCAAATATCCTCAACACCCTGTTCTGAAACACCCTCAGTCTCCCTTAATATCAGAGACCAAGTTTCACACCCATACAGAACAACAGGCAAAATTATAGTTTTGTACATTCTAATTTTTGTTTTTGGGCAGCAGACGAGAAGACAAAAGGTTCTGGACTGAATGGTAGCAAGAATTACCCGAGTTCAGTCTCCTCTTAATTTCCTCCTGAATCAGGTTTCGATTTGTTACAGTTCGACATTATTATTTCAGGGAGGAAATTGTCACGGCCCAATCTGAGGTGCTGTCATGGCGTCTCAGTAGAGCAATTGAGGATAATTTCGGAAATCCCTCAGAATTAGGCGGCCTCAGGGCAAATATCTGAACCCCCGGATTACAAATCATGACTGTCAACCACACGACTGAAAAAAAAAATAACGCAAAATGAGATTTAATCAAATTGTGAATGGGTCTGTGTAAGGCAACACTCTCACGGTGGTGACTGTCTTTCGGAGAAACATACTGTCTCTATCTTCAGGACAGAACAGTAGTTTAAAATCGTAGTATACTCATGAATAGTAAGTAGGTATTTACTGCTTGATTCTTCTTGATTATTTGACTTTACACTTCGACCTGAAGATGGAGGCAGTATATGTCTCCGTCGTGAACTTCTACCTATTTACACGGCGTCACATATCAGCGTCACTGTCATCGCTGTGGAAACTACAGATCCAACACAAAATTCCATCAATCACCTACAAATTATCACGAAGAATATAAGGATAACCGGTAACGTGGCTCGGATCGAACCAATACCTGCTCTAACATGCGCTATAGAAGCTGTGGCTATCATCTATTGGTTTATTCTGGTACCCCGAGTTTTAACAGCGCTCAGCGACGCGACTTTCAAATAACAGAAAATCTCACGTGACCTAGAACTTGGAAACATCATGGCAGCAGGATACACGTGAAAAGCAGCTTCTTCTGTTTATATGGCGCACGGATAAAGCCGCAGTTAATTCGTTCGTCACGTAGATATAAAGTAATTGAGAGCGTATCCATGGAAACCGATATGCCCACTGGATCTAGTTGTAAAAGGAAACTCGCCGTTTGCCTCTGATTAGTTACGGCGACTGAGTGAAACGAAACCAGAAGACAGCAGTGGAAAGCCAAGCCTGAGGCGGCTAGAAGATGTACAGAATGATTTAAGAGAGAAACGAACTCCGTTGCTTTAGTCCGCAAGCGAACTATACCGACCGAGCGACCGCCGCTTTTCGGCGAAGTTAGTGCCAACTTTAGAGGATAGAGAGTGTTGCGTTGTCAGCGCAACGAATCCCCACGGTCATTAATCTCGGTTTTCTAGACCGGAGCAGCTATTTCCTTGAAATAGCTCCTCAATTATCCTCACGAGGCTGAGTTGACCCCGTTCCAGACCCACTACTTCTCAGAAAAATCTGGTAGCGCCGGGAATAGAACCCGGTACATCTGGATCTGTAGCCATGAACTCTGACCACTAGACCATAGAGTGACATAAGAGGTGCAAGACACGAATAGAGATAACCTCCTTATCATGTCTTCATTTTATTCGTAAGAAACCGTGGGGGTTGATGTAGGTCTTACCCTCGTGAAAACCTCAAACCCAGTGCCGTGGAATCCACAAAGTGACAACCGTTTCCTTCCAGATCCTTCTCAATTCGTCATCAGTCACCGTACATGCTACTTAGCTAATGACAGCGTCGCTAATTAACCCATACAAACACACACTGACAGGACAGAACATGCAGAAATCGACTGGGCTATAGGGCAATTGCACCGGTAGTTTACGATACTATTAAAAATTATAATATCCTGCGGTCGGTTGGTTTGCTGGGCGCTAGAAGAGCGGTCAAAGGAGATGACGCACAAAAGAGCAAGGCCAGCAAGACGTTACCCTGACCATGACGAGTGAAAGTCCGGGCGAGCCTTTCAGTTTCACAGCTTTCCCTTCACAATACAACGGACAGAAAATAGCACTTGGCATGAAGAAGCGGGCCTACAGTCGGGTCAAGGAAAGAATGAACACCACAGATAGTAATTTAAGTAGATTCCACCACGCTAGAATGAACACCCCCCTTACATCGAGTTAGCTGCAGCCCGGCCTCCATTTAATGATCCCTCGTGACAGCGCTCTGACGTCCGCCTCGAAACCCACTAGCCGGCACAGAGATACTGCGCAGGCGCGTAGCTAGTTGTACGTTCTATTTTCCGTCCCTGCTCCATTAGACGTATTGCTGTGTAGTCTGAACGCTGCGAAGTTTGCGACTGCACTATTCGACGTCCGAAACTGAAATTAATCTCCGACAGCAGTGCTACATTCTTGAGATCGAGTTCGGGCATGCTGAGTGACGCGTAAACAAGTCCAGATATCATTAAACAGTAGTCCCACTGGAACCAACTACCAACCCCGTGTAGCCGGGTCCTTCTTGACAAGCAAATAGTTACTCCTTGCTCAAGAAATCGCGCACATCTTGTGAAACCTCAAGTCAGCAAACGTACTGTGAGCGAATGGAGGTTAATGAACTGAAATAGAACTCTCGTACGTAACTAAGAGCATTAAGTGGGTCAGATGTGAGAGGAGTCGTTCGCCGGTCTGCAAATTGCTGATGAAATAAGGCGCCAAGAATTCCAAATTACGAGGGAAGACAGAAATCGTCGGTGAACCCGCTATCTTCATATTTAGGGTCCAAGAATATTTTACCCTGAACATGGAATCAGTACTTCCTGTCGAACAAAACCCAGACTTCCGTTCGGGAAATCTCTGGTTCGAATCTTGACCTGCACATCGGCTATCCAAATTGAGATTTTCCGTGGTTTCCCTCAGTCCCTCCAGGCGATTGGGTCACGGCTACTTCCTTCCAAATAATTTTCAATTCGTAATTCACCGATCATCCTATCATTCGTAGCCATATAGTCTGAGGTGACAGCAGCGTCTATCAGGTTTTACGGTGTCATATACTCGTAAAATAGGTAAATCCATCTCTGTAACAGGCCGTGGAGGCCCATAGGGTTGTGAGACGTCGAGGTTCCCACATTTTCTAGACAATCGACTCACAGAGGGTGGTGAAGTTGTCAGCCCGACCACCCTATACCCCCACCAAGATTCCTGGTACTCATTTCTGTTAGAGGCTGAGTCGTCCCCAGGGTCATAGTGCTGTTCGTAGAATTGGGTCAATTGAAAAAAAAAAATCCACGGGTGTCATATATTAGAAGGAAATAATCTTAAGGTAACGGTTCATTCCAAAAGTAGGTGAAATCTCAGCGTGGTTCGCTTGTTCAGACAAATTTAACTAGATTATACTGCAGGAAGTACGCTTCAGGTCTCCGAGACAAAGAGTTGAGCACACGCCCTAACAGATTACAGGAAGTCACCAGCACGCTGCCTCAGAGGGCAGGCACAAGTTGGTACTGAACAGGGTAAACCGGAAGAAACTGGGAGAGGGACCTACCCCAGTGCCACTTCGTCCATCACGAGCCCCACATGACGTTACCCGGGACTGAACACCGGCCTCTGGGGAAACAAACCAGCGTCTAATCGCTTCATCTACGCCAATGCCCATATTCTTCACAAATTAGTATTTATTCAGATAAAATCAATAAGTTTTCGCCTCTGATTTCCTTTGATACATGGACCGCATAGAAAACGATGCCTCAAACAATTCTTCGTTGCCGCGAGAACGCGTTTACCGAGCCGTTGCCTAACAACGATAGGGGACATACAAACCAGCATACTCTCTTTCGATACGACACAGACAACACATAAAACAACGTGTCCAACAATTATTCTATTGTTGCCAGTGTTCGTTGCAGCGGGAACGTGTTTGCCGAGCCGTTGCCTAGCAACGATAGGGGATACAGATACACAAACTGATGGGAGGGATATATGCAGTGCACCGTTTACATCGGCTCGGTTGCCATGGTATATATACCAGTTTCATAAGGACTGGTTCAGGCATTCAAAAGCCTACTTTAAAAAAAATATTGAAAGTAGGATTACAAACAAGTTCAGTCTCGTCCATAGTCATGGGGACACTACTTCAATGCACTGAGGATGTCTTTTCAATTTCTATATCCCAATATGTCTCGAAGTGTGTCGCGACACACAATGCAACGCAAATATATTCTGCGCAGAGGTAAAAAGGCAAACTTCTCTCTATACCTGACGTAGCATGACGCCACGAAGCCGAAAGGGGGGAGTGGAGATATCCACATATTCTCCAGCTTACGGTAGCCACTGGATGGGATGAATGGGACCGAAACATGCGACAGTTCGGGAGAATGCTTGCTACCAATCACTACAGCATTTTTTGTCTTCTCGCCTGATATCTGAAGCACATAAATTAAAAAAAAAAAATCTAATTTTTCCTGCAGTTTTGTATGGGTGTGAAACTTAGTCTCTCGTACGACGGTAAGAACATAGAAAAACGTTGTTTGAAAACCGGGTACTAAGCTTAAGGCTAAAAAGCAGGCGCTGTAACAGGCCGTGGAGGCCCATGGGATTGTGAGATGTTGAGGCTCCTACATTTTCTAGACAATAGGCTCACAGATGGCGGTGAGGTTGTGAGCCTTACGCGCAGGCCGCCCTTTACACCCAGGAAAATTCCTGGTACTCATTTCTGTAGAGGTTGAGTCGACTCCAGGGCCATATTGCGGCTGGAAGGATTAGGTTAATTGAAAACGTCCACCTCATCGGGATTAGAAACCGCGGCCTTCCGGCTTGAAGCATAGTGCCTCAGCCGACTGCGCTACCGCGTGCCACGTGTTCTTGAAGGATATTAATCAAGTATCGAATTCTGTAGGTTAATCCGTGAGTAGTTCGAACTAGGTAATGTCAAGTGACAGAATGACAAATAAATAAGATTCGAAAGGATATGGATGGAAGCGGTCGTGGCCTATTCAAGGATACGCTGCAATTTGCGTGTGCTTACAGAAGGAAACCAGAAAAAAACATTACTCAGGATAAACCGTCTCGGGAACACGAAGCAGAACGTAACTGTGTAGTTCTGTCTGCTTCTGTGTCATTACATGGAACTGGCACTATCGAGGAACTGCGCAAAACACTTTCGCTGCACACTGACAGGCCGTTCTGGGTAGGTGTGGCCTCACGTGGGTAGATTTAGGTTACTGGAAATGGTACACAACACGTAGGCGGCTGACAAGTGCCAAGGGTCGCTAGTTTCGATCTTAACAACAACAACAACAACAACAAAAAAAAGGCTATATATTTTATGACTGCATGTGACATCTGTTGACATTTTATCCGAAACTCCTATTGAAGAAATGTTGGGAAGGAAGAAACATCTTTAACAGTTTAAAAGGTAAAGCTATCCCTGTAAAAGGCCGTGGAGGCCCATAGGGTTGTGAGACATCGAGGCTCCCACATTTTCTAGACAATAGACACATAGATGGCGGTGAAACTGTCAGCCTTACGCGCAAAGCTATCCCTGTAAAAGGCCGTGGAGACACATAGGGTTATGAGACGTCGAGGCTCCAACATTTTCTAGACAATCGGCACACAGATGGCGGTGAGGTTGTCAGCCTTATACCCCGGCCGGCTGTCCTTTACCCCCAGGAAGATTCCTGGTACTCATTTCTGTCAGAGGCTGAGTCGACCCCAGGGCCACAGTGCAGCTGGAAGGGTTAGGTCAATTGGAAAAATCCAATGACTTCATCGGGAATCGAACCCGCGACGTTTTGGCATGTAGCATAGTGCAGTAGCAGAAACACATCAAGTGTAACCAGTTTAACAGGCGTAAGTAAGAGTTTTGGGTCTAGAGGACGAGACGTCAAACATATCACACACACGGTGTGTGATATGTTGGACAGCCGATAAAATATTCTGTGTGACCGAGAACAAGAAAAAGATGAGCCCCATTATATTCTTCCCGTCTACTCAACAAGAACTTTTAACTTATTTTAATGAGTTAATTCACAAATTATTTTAACTGTACTAACTCCGTGTGCTTAACTAAGCACAGGGAGAACTTTATGATAGTACAGTTAAGAACAACATGTGCAAAACAGTTCCGTTACATTGTTGGGCACGCCTTCTGATGGTGGCCAATAGTGGCCGAAACATGTAAAAACAAAACTTGTACTTTTTTTTATTGCTAGTGGCGTAGGACCAAGTCCCTTGTACTGCGGCCACTTCTGGCCTATTGTACCAGCCCCAGATGATAGGTGAGGGTGATTGTGGAGCAATTGGTGGAATGAAGATTGGCAGGGGAAACCGAAGTTCTCGGAAAAAACCCGCCCCAGCGCCGCTTTGTCCACCACAAATCTCAAAGCCCCGGTAGCTTTTCTCTCGGAGGAAGAACTCCAAGTGACCACTGATGGGCTGGGTGGGCCCCAGTCTGTTTTACATACAACATAGATCGTAGGAGCACAGAAAGCTGTATTTTTGGGGTGGGGGTCAAAACAGCACGGCAGCCCCACGCGTCAGTTCCTTACTAGTTCGTTAAGTGGGCGGTAGAGAGAGCTGGCGTGCCGCACGTCACAGGAAGAAGAGAAAGTGAAACTAGGGTTGAACTCGGCAGACAAGAATAACGCGGAATATTAATCGTTCGTTTCAATAAACAGATTTTGTTCATGTTTATCGAAATTGTTCCATTCTGGTGTGCACAGGCTGAACTCGCCTTTTGCCGACTCCACTTACATCTTTCAAATCGAAATATGTCATAACATTCTTACTGCTTTTCTTTTGTCCAGCCACGACTTGTTCACATGTAACGGAAGGTGGTTTGGTGATTTGGCCCTCGGAAGAAACAAGTTCCGGGAAGAACTAATAACCTACTTTCCTCTAATAAGATACGGACCTCATAGAAAACGACGCCTCAACCAACTACGCTACCGCGTGCCTCAACGACGGGGGAACAAATGTGTTTTTCATATTGTATGTGCTGTGTGTGTGCATTGCAGACGCCGGACATGGGGTGGTGCTTGGTGCTGGCCAGCATAATGGCCTTGACTTTTGTCGACTGTGGCAGTCGTGCGGAGAGCAGCGATTGGGCTTGGGGAAAAGGGCGAGATCAGGGTTCCGATGGTCACGTAACAGGTAAGGGACAATGCTCTTCTATTTAAAGCTGGAACCAAAATCGCCGTACCGACTATCTCGCTGCACACAACAGTTTCTTTCCATAAGGTAGCCTATTCAAGATATAACGTACATATCACAAGATATTTTAGACACACAACAATACACTAAACACAGCAACGTTTCATATTTTCCACCTGATGACGGAAGCAGCGTTGTATTTAAACATGTTCCTTTCATCTAAATGAAAGCACTGCAACAATGGTCCCTCTAAGCAGAGCGCATTTGGCCGCGCCACAGCTCAAGCGGTTAGTCGCTGGCTTCCCACAGCGGGTCTGGTCAAGTGGGATTTGTGGTAGACAAAGTGGCGCTGGGGCGGGTTTTCTCCGAGTACTTCGGCTTCCCCTGCCAATCTTCATTCCACCAAATTCTTCATCATCATAATCCCCCGGGGCAGGCTACAATAGGCCAATCAGTGGTCGCCGTGCCGAGTGGACCCACTTGGACTCCACCCCCCCCCCACTAAGAGAATAAAAAAAGTAAAACTGGAAAAGTAAACTACAATTTTTTGTTATTTTTTGGAGTTTACAAATTGAATCTGCATTGTGTGTATCTTGTGTTACTTTGCTTAGAGGGAACGCTCGTTGCAAATGTCCAGTACATGAGTCAGTAAACCTTTATGCCCGGCAGGATCTCTAGACACGCTGAGCTCCAGTCAGAATGTGAACGTGACGTCAGGCGTCGAGGTTGATGAAGAGTCTCTGATAGACAGCATCGTATCGTCGTCTCGACAGGGGCGCATTCTACAGCAGGACGGTTATAACCAAGTGGCCAGCGACCCGCAAGTGAGGCAGGCCATAGAAGCTGGCAACGATTCTGAGGCACGTCACTTCGTTCGAGAGAAACTCTGCAACCTGGGCCTCATGGCAGTAAGTGTTGCCTCGCGCATGTCACGTGTATGTACCCGTGTTCATAAAGTCGACCTGGAAGTTTAGAGTTGAACAACTTTTGATCCACATATTACTTAAGCTAAGTTTAAAAAAAAATCTGGAAAACCTATTTCTTCTTCTTCTTCTTCTGGCGCTACAGTTCATGATCAACCTTGGCCACTTGTATGATTGCTCCTGTTTCTGTATGACTGAAATCGTTAAAATCTTCTCAACGATTAAGGCTTTTTACGGGGTGGGATTGTCAAACCTACGCCCAACCCTCCAACATAGAGGATGAGGGTATCCCTTTTTGTCTGGATCATCACCTTTGACCTGTCCGGTAAGGAAGACCCTACCACTCAGCTATGCTACCGCCGACATAACTCTCAGGATCACTTTACGAACACCCTGTACATTTTATGACCATATGCCGCCTACAGTTTGCTTCTATCGTGTGGAAGAAAAGTTATTAAAGTGTAAATTTTCATAGTGACTTTACGAACACCCTGTATATTTTATGACCATATGCCGTCTACAGTTTAGTTCTATGAGGAATAAAAGTTATTAAAGGGTACATTTTCATAGTGACTTTAAGAACATCCTGTATAGTTTATGACCATATGCCGTCTACAGTTTGCTTCTATCATGTGGAAGAAAAGTTATTAAAGTGTAAATTTTCATACTGACTTTAGGAACATTCTGTATAAGCCGAACTTTTGACCTGGTTATGTGTACCTGGAGGCTACACACATATATTTTTTTGTGTTGCAGTGTGAACCTGGAATCGAACCCAAGCGCCCGTACGTACAGCCCCACGATCTGATATATGCCCAGCCAGTCCACATAAAGCCAGTGGGCCGTCCTATCCCAGCAGTCCCAGTTCGAGGCCCACCAGTGCACCATATCGGCGGATACGGGCCCCCTAAACCAGTACCCTTCCCCCCTGTCCCCGGACCCATAATCCCCCCTCACAGATTACCACGCCCGCTACCAGGACCCATATACGCACCCAAGCCTCTATCACCACCCGTATACGAATCAATAGAGCCTGACCTCCACGACTACCATCCTCATCCACCAGTGAAGAAACCTGTGGAGGTCGTAGTGAATTCTCAAGGTGGAGTACAGCAACATGTGCATCACCATTATCACCACGGTGATGGTGGCGTCGTGAAGCCTACAGTACTGGTGGATCAGCCTGGCCCACTGATTCCGACGGGTCCTGTGTTTGAACCCGGTCCAGTGTATGGTTCTGCACCATTAGGACCCGGTTCGTCGCTTGGTGGAGGACCAATAGGAACTGGGTCTCTGTATGGTGGCGGACCAATAGGAGGCGCTGTTTATGGTGGAAGTGGCCCTTACTTGGGCCAAAGTCCATTCTATAAGAAGCAACTGTCTATCAAAACTCCTCTAACAGGTGAGAAATATAGCACTAAAATGTACCTCGTTAAAACATATATAACAGGGGAATTCCGGTTCAAGATGGTTCGATTTACAATTTCGGCGCGTGATCACGGCGGCCCCGCCGTCTAAGGCCTGAACTGTCCTCGCCAATTTGAACACTGGGATCGTGGGTTCGAATTCCACTCAAGGTATGGATGTGGGCGGTTTTTTTTTTTTTTGTATTTGTGTTGTTCTGTGTGTAGACAGCGTTCTTGCGATGGGCTGATTCCCCATCCAAGGAGTCCTATCGAATGTGTATAGGATAAAGAAACTGAAAANCTCTTCGCTAAATTATTATTATTATTATTATTATTATTATTATTATTATTATTATGCTTACTCTATCAAGCTTGTAAACAAATGTAAAGTTGTCCCTGTTCCTAATTAATCAAGCACCAGGCGGTGAAGACAGGAGTGGAGGTAAAGCTCCACCATTTTTAACCTCGTCACTACATGGAGGTGTGTTCAGTTTCACGCCCCTGCCGCTTCACCCCCAGGAAATGAGTCCCCGGTACTCATTAGATAGGGGGTTGGGTGGGGCCCAGAGGCGGTCTGGACGCCGTGGAGAAGAGAAATATCTTACCTCTATCTGGAATCGAACCCAGGATGTCTAACCGGTAGCACGTCGCTTTGTCGACTGAGATATCCTGGCTCTAAGCGTAATTTCGAAATGTCCCTCATGGACTACAATGTTTACGAATGGAGCTGTGAAAGGTTATCCATGGAGATTCAGAGAAGGGGATCCCCAAATTTTCCAGTTGAATTTTCGAAGCGCATTTCAGTAGTCATGTTCATTTATTTAAAACGTCCGTAGGAATTTCTTTCTTATAAACTGCATAAACATTCCTATGGCAATAACTTTACTCCTTGCGTCATGTGTTAGGTAACGGTCTGGGCTCCACTGCTTCATCCTCAAACTACGCAGACCGCTACCCCATTTACGAGAACCCCCGCGCTGATGGGGTGCGAGGCCTGGCAGACTGCTTCTGTGTTCCGTACGACCAGTGCCTTCCCCATGAAGTGTCACGGAAAGAAGACGGGTTCTATATCGATCCTCGCACCAACGGAGGGAAAAATATCGAAGCGATTACTCTCGACGATGTTGTCATCACTGACGGAAACGGAACCATCATATCTCGACACGCTAAACGAGAGAACGACGATTCTAAAGAGTACGTCGTTGTAGAATCTGAAGATGCAGAGAAGATAGAAAGTCGAGATGAAGGGAAAACAGATGATAAGAAACAGGAAGAAGATGTAACTGGAGAAGACAAGAATACTAGGCGAAAACGAAGGGAAGTTGCAGCCAGCAAGGACAACGATGGAAGTGATTCAAAGAAATCCGATGTCCAGCCCGTAAGTATTCGCAGAAAAAGAAAAATATGTACATTTATTTTCAGAGAAGATATCCAAAATAATAAATGTCTTGTTGAACTGGAAAAAAAAACTTCCATAATGCAAAAATGCATTATAAATATATAAGTTTTCGGACCGCCTGTGTTCTAGTTGTCAGAGTTCCTGGCTATAGATACAGAGGTCCCGGGTTAGATTCCCGGCGTTACCAGATTTTCTGAGAAGTAGTGGGTCTGGAACGGGGTCCATTCAGCCTCGTGAGGATAACTGAGGAGCTATTTCAACGAAATAACGTCTCCGGTCTAGAAAACCGAGATTAACGGCCGTGGGGAACCGTTGCGCTGACCACGTGACACCCTCTATTCGCAAGAAGTTGGAACTTCGCCGACAAGCGGCGGTCGCTCGGTCGGTTTAGTTCGCTTGCGGGCTAAAACCACGGAGTTTGTTTCTGTGATTCGGCCATGGCTGTATTACAAATATCTAATTCAATGTCCAGTATACGGAACATTACTGAAATTAACATCTGAGCAACAAGACGCAATAACATTTTTGGATATCCTTTCTTATCACGTTACTGATTTTGCTGAAATCAAATTCTTTCCTACGCTGTTCACGCTGTACATATCTGCTTTGGTTTTATGGGGAATTCCCTGGTATTTATAGAAATTAAACTACCAACATTTCTGAATTCGTCGGATATTTATCAGTTTCATGACATGGCACTGACGTAAACATTCTGAAATCTTGCACCTGCGATTAGTTCATATGCTAAGCAGTATTTACTGGGCTGGTGCACGTAGCGGTAAAGCTCCTGAGTCGTATTCAGAAAGCGCTCAGTTCGAATCTCGGTCAGGACAAAAGCTATCCTGAGATATTTACAGTTTTCTTCAGTTCCTCCAGAAACAACCAGGGGAAGTGCCACGATCATACCAACTAATCATTCGCCAATCATATTACCATTCGACAGTCTACAGTCCAGATACTAACAAGAGTTTTAAAGTAAATTAAAAGTAAGACACATTTCCTTCTCGTCCGAGTACATGCACTTGCTTAATGACGCTATATGAACTACAGATGTTATATAGGGCCAGTGTAACTATAAAACTAACACAAATAGCGTATTCGGAATGACATAGAAAGAGATCGTGGCCTATTTTAAAACTGAGNCTCACGGTGTTGTCGCTTGCAGATTTACTTATACTTCTTCAACCCTGAAGATGGGGGCGATACGTTCCTCCGAAACGTCGGTTAACACCACATATACACGGTGCCAAATCCCAGAAGACTGCTTTCTTCAACAATAGAAATGATTCTTCAGAACAGCCGGTCTTCTATTGAAGATTCTCCTTTCCATTAATGTTAATCGCTATACGGGAAGGACAGACAAGGTTACCACAGCGGTAGAGAGGAGGTACCTAGTTATTTAACGGCACCGCCAGTATTTCGGTCTATATAGTGTCGAATGGTAGGGATTGCATTGATCTGGCTCAGGATAGGGACCAGTGGAGGCTCCTGTGAACACAGTAATGAACCTTCGGGTTCCATAAAATGCTGGGAAATTCTTGAGTAGCTGCAGAATTGGCGGCTCTTCAAGAAGGGCTCAGCACCATGAGTAAGTAAGTAAGTAAGTAAGTGTCGAATGGTAAGATGATCGGGAGCGATTGGGAGCTAACTTGAGAGACAATCCCGGAACTTGGCCTGGAGCGTTCGAGAGAAAAAAACCCACGAAAAATCATAATCAGGATAGACGGTTTTTCTCGGCAACTGTTCGACCCCCCTAATAAAAGTCAGAAGCGCTACCGCTTGTGCCAACTTCATAGATAGAAACAGTGTCGTTAAACGACATGAAATTAATCAGTCCAGTATCAGATCTCATTAAATGGAATTTTATCTACGACTGAAACCAGGGAATTTCTTTGCTGTAAATACGAATCCACATTCTAACGGTGTTGGACGAGAATCGCTTTAGAGTTCGCGCACAAAATCAGAGCGGTTGGTCTACGTGATATGCATCATCGCTTTTTTTTTTACTATTCTCAAGAATAATAGCGTAAGTCGTTATGCTACGCTCAGGCGCATGTATTTGTTCTTTTTTTTTCATTCTACGTCTGTTTCTCTTAGTAACCGTCTCAAACCGCTCAGATTTTACGCGCCTATTCTAACATAACACTTTTTTTATGCTTCCTCTGGTGGTGCAGGTTAAAGATGACATCATAAAGGAGGGGAAGGAACAGAAGGATGACGAATTGGATGAAAATGAGAAGCGAAAGCAAAGAAATACTGAGGTGGGTGGACAGCCTGCTTACTGTCCCAAATTGTTACTGAACCGAGCGACATACCTTCCTCGCTCAGTAAAGCACAGAAAGTAGTTTCTGTATGCAACTGTATGCTTTCCTTCTGTAGAATATCTGAGTCTGATCGCATATATTTTATTTCGGATGATAATATCTTTTAATATCCTACATTGTTTCCTCTTTCGTATCTCCACTGTTGTTTCTTTCCTTATGTACTCGCCAAAAGCATGTTTCATTAGATCGTCTGTTCCATTCCAGTCTAATAACATTCTTCTTGTATGCTCTTCACACAATTCTAATTTAAAACGTATACTGCACATTCACTTTCGTAATGTCGTTAAAACTCATATAAATATATCGATAAACACTCGTCGCATGTTTTGAATGTTTTTTTTTAATTTACTTAGTGGGGGGTTGAGTCCAAATGGGTCCACTCGGCACGGCGGCCACTGATTGGCCTATTGTAGCCTGCCCCGGGTGATTATGATCATGGAGAAATTGGTGGAATGAAGATTAGGAGGGGAAACCGAAGTACTCGCAGAAAACCCGCCCCAGCGCCACTTTGTCCACCACAAATCCCACTTGACCAGACGCGGCATCGAACCCGGGCCACAGCGGTGGGAAGCAAGCTACTGCTTGAGCTACGGCGCGGTCCTTTGAATATGTTTACTCTAATCATGTATGCAACAGTTTCCGGGATTACCCTTTTGTTACACACGTTTATTCTCAGTTGCTCCCCTCTTACATATTTCCAAAGTCGTCTCATTTTTGTTACCCTTCTAAAGCACAGTGGTAATTATATATACCATCTGATTCACATATCAAAACTCTGCATTCTGCCCACACCGTGGGAGACGTAATGTGTTTCCTGTGAGGTACGGACTGAACTGCTATATATTCTGCCCACAGAGTGTATCTGTATGTTCTGTATGATTCTCACACTAAACAGCGACTGTTTCCCTAAACAGCATTAACCGGTTGGGCTTTGTAGCGGAGACGTAATGGGTTTCCTGTGAGGTATGGACTGGATTGCTATATATTCTGCCCGCACAGTGTATCTGTGTGTTCCGTATGGTTCTCACAATAAACAGCGACTGTTTCCCTAAACAGCATTAACCGGTTGGGCTCTGTAGCGGAAACGTAATATGTTTCCCGTGAGGTACGATCTGGAGGAACGCCCTATAGTCTACCTACTGACAGCGCCGTAAATTAAGGCACAAAAAAGAAATATCGTCCATCTGTCACTGGGTCTTGTAGATGACTTTAATCTTCTTTGCCTCCGGAATCAAACGTTGAGTCTAGGTGAAGAAGAAAATACAGATCTATAAAGTAAAGCTATCCCTGTAACAGACCGTGGAGGTCCATAGGGTTGTGAGACGTTGAGGCTCCCACATTTTCTAGACAATCGGTTCACAGATGGCGGTAAGGTTGTCAGCCTTACGCGCCGCCTGCCCTTTACACCCAGAAAGATTCCTGGTACTCATTTCTGTTAGAGGCTGAGTCGACCCTAGGGCCATAGTGCGGCTGGAAGGATTAGGTCAATTGAAAATCCAATGACCTCATCGGGACTTGAACCCGCGACCTTCCGGCTTGTAGTATAGTGCCTCAACCAACTGCGCTACCCCCAAATAAAGCTCTACAATGGATTCATTATTCCATGTCTGTGTTCTTTTGTTATTTTCCAGGATAACCTTTTCTTCAATGTTTCTATGACGATAACAATACACAGTCTTGCTTATGCTCCTATATTCGCTACTTCTGGAATTCTATGAATATCCCGCCAATCGGAGTGACAATATCTGACGTACTTACGTCACAACAGAAAGACCTGCAGAAGACTGAAATCATACCGTTCCTTCCTACCACCCCCTCCGAACCTCCTCCTATGGCTGTGGTTGCTATGGGAACCGTCCGAAATAAAAGAAACCGTAGAGTAGCATACATAGTACTGCTTGACAGGGGCAATGAATGGCAAACGTTGGATAATAATCTAATTCATGACCCCAAACACACTGGTTGGTTAATGGTATTCATAATCAGGCCTTTTTGTGGAAGTTCTAAATGGAATTAAGAACTCAGATTCACTTGACATAAAAACCCAATTCCCTCACAGAGATGAAGCCCCCCCAACTTAAAGACCGAGAAGTGATAGCGTGCTGCGTGATTAGGGCTATCACACAGTTCAGAGAGCGCCAATAGATGCGTGTGGAGTAATGGCAGAATGATGATTAGCGGGGGGGGGAATCGAATTAACTCGCAGGAATTTTTTCCCACTATTAATCTCATATGAAGTCACTCAGGATTGAACCCGGAGGTTTCAGGTTAAGAAGCCAGTGACTAATCGCGGATAATTTAGGGATAAAAATGCCAACAGAAAGGATAATCTGTAAATCCAAGTAACAAACCGAGATCTCTTCTAAACATGATACTGTATGCTCCTCTATCCTCATACTGAGTTCCAGGTTACGTTTTCGACAAGCGCCATGATGCATTGTACCAACCACACTGCGCTGGGGGCATGAGTTCGATTCATACACACCACATACAACTTATAAGATTTAAGGCTTTCAAATCGGTGAAAGATTCATATTGTGGTCTTCTGGGTTACGACACGGTGTAGTCTGGTAGGTAGTTATCAACATTTCGGAAGAACATACCTAATTACCAGGCTGTACGGTGTCATAACCCAGAATACATGATCTAGTTACAGAAGCTGCTAACTAACAATAACATTACAAGTGGCTGGTCTTTCCTTCTTGCAGCGAATTTTCGGTGACGCGTCTAAGTACAAACTCAGCCCGACATTCGGAGTGTCTTTCGGTCTGCCTCATGGAGGAGGAGGGGGAGGTTATCCTTTAAATCCTTACGGTCCTTATCCAGCTCTTAATCCTTACGGAAGTTCAGTGGGAGGGTTAGGTGGCGTAAACTTAGGATTAGTCAGTGTGAATCCTTTGTTGTCGGTCCAGGTAACACAAGACGAATACGGTGACAAAATCGTGAAGCCTTTGGTTAACCTACATGTTACCCCCAACCACGGACTCGTCCACAAGCTTGGTAGTATATTACATGGTTTTCACCACAAACCGTATTACCAGGGGTATCCACCATTTAAGCACGATCACCACCATCACCACATACACTCGTCAAAACCGTATCCCTCATACTATCACCCCTATAAGCCTTACTATCATGGTGGGCCTTATAAACCCAGTTATCATTACGCACCTGGTTACCATGGTTACAGACCTCATGATGAATACATAGGAGCGTCAAGTGGATATGTTTATGATGAGGATCGGTATGACAATGGGGACTACTATGTTGACGACCCATATTCGCGCAACAGTAGGGGTAACGGGACAGCGAACGCCCTGCCCTCTACTTCCTCCTCCTCTGGCACCGGAAGTTCAACAAAGGTGCAGTTTCCCAGTGACAGACGCAGTGGTGTTAGCACCAGGACAAAGCGACACTTTAACCATGACACAGCTCGACACAATGAGGTGAACCATGTCCAAGAGGTAAGGCCACAAGATCGGGGACAATTCTGTGAGGTCCACCTCGGCGTAGGGATACACTACCGCATTGGTTCTTAGCCTCAGTTCTCAGAGTGGGATGCAAGTGCGTATGTCATGGTGTCTTCTGAGCAGTTACTGGGTTGCCTTGGGCAACCAGGGAGAGGGAGGGGGGGCGACGATTTTCGGAAAAGGTCCATAACAGACATTAAATTTATAAGTTCCCACCAAAAAAAAATTCATAGTTTACTTATTTCAATTTTATTTTTATTAATTCAAATTGGCCACGTATTAAACCAATATAAGTGAATGAAAATTAATCAAAAAGAACTACTAATCCAGTGCGCGGGAGTGCGACAGCAGCTGCTCGGCCGCGCACGCGCACTTTTTAGAAGGATCGAACACTGATGACGAGTACCATCCTCTGGTATGTGACGCCATGTAGTCTGGTAGATCATTATCAACGTTTCGGAGTAGCATGTTACCTCCAACTTCAAGGCAGAAGATCGAGCCGAAAATGTAAAGTAGTTCTGATATAGGGAAGTTGGATGAAATTGTCAGCCTACAGCCCCGCCCTTCTACCCTGAAGATGGAGTCAACAAACCCCTCCGAGACGTACCAAACTACACGCTGTGGCATTTCAGAAAACAATAATATTCATAATTATCGCTGTGATAACCTCAAAACTGGCATGTTATTTCTTTAACTGTTAGTGTAAGAGGTGCTACTCATCTCTTGGTAACAAAATGGCAAAGAAAAACGTGTTGCGCACTTCTGGTGTCTTCACAACCGAAGGGCGTGCCCCACAGGTTAAGAACCAAAGCACTAGTGTATCTGCTACCGTTACACGAGACTTCCATGTACCACGGAACACGAACTCTGTCGCTGACCGACCCAATCAGATATTGCGGCCTCTTACAGGTCTTCTCATGGGTTATTTAACGATGCTGTTTCATTAAGGAGACCATATAGCGTCAGGTGTTATGATGATGAATTAGAAATGGTATATAAGGAAGTGGTCGTGGCCTAATCGAGGTACTATCCCGGAATTTGCCTGGTGGGACTGAGGAAATCCATGAAAAAACTCAGTCAGGATAATCGGTGTCCGGGTCAATATTCGAACCGAGTACCTCCCAAATACGAGTCTAGAGGTAAGGCTCTAGACAGTCGGTCTACATGCTACGTGCTACATGTCCACAATTACGAATAAACAGATAAACAGTTTTGATCAGTATTAAAGATGCTAAATCGTTTCGTTTTGTTTCTAACGCTAATGTAGCACGTATTAGGGATAAGTTAAATTTAAACCATAAATGCAGTGTAGTACGCACACATACAGAAATAAATCAGAAAATATATTTTATGTCCATTAAAAACTATGATTCAAAAATAATATGTATTATGTATATATAATAATTTAAATTTCAATATGTTAAGATATAAAAGTTTGTGGCGATCGTATATTAACATAATTATTGACTTTATGATCATTATCCATCGTCCTATGAAAGGCAGGAAAATGGATAATGTCCAAAAAGTCAATAATTTTACACTGTGTTCAGTAGGCCTATTGGCATGTTATGGGATCTTATGTCAGTAACACACGCAATTTTCACCACATTTTGCGAGTATCCCACTTCGAACACCGATCATTTCAATCTGTGTTCATGCAGAACTCCGAGATTTAAACCACTCAATTTCTCGCTTGGGATTAGGAAATAGTGAAATATCAGACATGGCTACTGCTAAAATTTCTCACGAAAAGTGTTGAGTTATTTTCAGGTGTGACGATGACCACTACAACGGCAAGAACCTGAAGATTTATGACGGATGATAAGACGAGACAGCAGTTAGAGGAACAAACATAACCTCAAACTTCATTCAAACTAACACATAAGACTGGAACTATCATATAGACTCGTAATGACTTTCTTGTTTCCGACTTCGTAATTTCACAACTGTACTCACCTCGCTTTTCGACAGTATTTCTTCATGTTTATCTGAACGGGTGAATTTCAGGTTATGTTCATAACGACATCCACATGTTATCAATTAAAACTCTAAACTAACAGATAATTATTTATAAAGTTTCTTAACCCTTTGGCATAATTAAAGACAATGTCTACTCAAAGTAAAAACGTAAAGGTGCCCCTGTGACCGACTGTGGAGGCCCATAGGGTTGTGAGACGTTGAGGCTCCCATATTCTTTCTAGACAATCGGCTCACAGATGGCGGTGAGGTTGTCAACCTTATGCCCCGGCCGCACTTTACACTCTGCTAGAGGCTGAGTTTCTCTTTGAGCCACAGTGCAGCTGGAAGGATTAGGTAAACTGAAAAATCCAGTGATATCATAGGGAATCAAACCCGCGACCTTCAAGCTTGTGGCATAGTGTCTCAACCAACTACGCTACCGCGTGCCCTGACTTCTCAAAATGTTTGATTAAAATTATGTCAAACAGTTTAAAACGTAAGCTTCAAATTCTATCTCGAAATTTCTGTGTACATATACTACTTCTATTGTCTAATGACAGAAGTGACATCCGGTGACTTTTCACGGTCGAAAATGTTATTAAAGTCACTCAGAGAGACGGACGTCACTCATTCGTCAAAATATGCCAATGGGTTAGGAGAAATCTAATAGAGGATATCAGGTAAGTTTAGTACAAATTTAATATTTGATTTCTGCGACTTGATGAGCATATATGTACACTGGGTTGTATGCATTGCGAACACGTGACTGGTTACTCAGAATATGACGTGACGAATAATCTGAGAGTAATCGTTATGTTTGTTGTACGAACATGAGATTTTTCCTTGCAGTCAGGAACTAGACAATTCAATGCGTGTACGAGCCACAGGAGCCTCTTCAGTTCCAAAATATAATATATTTCAAAATTATATCTTACAGAAACTAAATTAAATGAACGTCCTTCAACATATACATGTGTTGTAAACGTAAGCTAAATCAGCCATATGCAATTTCCGGTTACCACGGAAATGAACCGTTGACCCACAATACGTCGCATGAACGGAAGTCGTGTGGTAGGTCACCAACGACCGAGCAGTCTTTTGTTTCAGTATAGTGCATGCTTTCTGTAAGCACTGATATTTTAATGTGGATATGTGAAGTGTACAGTGATATATATTTAAGCGACGCCGGTCACAGTGGCTGCGCGGTCCAAGACATGAATTGTCTTCGCTCGCTCGAACGCTGGGATCGTGGGTTCGAATCCCACTCAAGGCATGGATGTCTGTGTCTGTGTGTAGGTAGCGGCCTTGCGACGGGCTGATCCCCCGTCCAAGGAGTCCTACCGTCTGTGTAAAAGAAGATCCCGAAACTGCAGAAGAGGCCAGGCCCCAAAAAAAGGTTAGATGGAAATAAAGGTCGACCCTTGACGCATCCTTCGGCAACATGTAGGGCTGGAAAGGGCTAACAAGTAGGGAAGCATATATAATTCCCAACGCGTATTATAGTGGTGTCACTGTAAGTATATAGGGAAAGTGTATCCAAGCCAGTGTGCGGCACTTCTAGGGTACAATCTTACTGATTTCTCTTCTGTCTCTGATCGCCTTACGAATTCACATAACACTCACAAACCGATCCTCTGCTTCTCATTTAACAATGCATGGGGAACTTGAAGGGTCTGATGATGCTGGTGCTATGCATAAGTAAATTAGGAAGGGTCTGTCTTGCTCTAAGTGTAGCACTTACAAGAATTCCTTAACTGGAGAAAGGAAAAGCGTTGGGTCATCTTCTGACTGACAAACTAATGAAGTTCATAAGTGAACATCAGAAAATACTTACACCCTAAACCGGGAAATGAGAAATGAATACAAAATGTTAGTAGCAGAACTTGAAGGCAATACAACACTTGAGAGATACAAGGGTACATGAAAAGATACAACTAAACGAATTCTAAGAACTATGATTGGATGGCCATATAGCTAGGATGAAACAACGAACGTATAAAGAATACTGGTAAAGAAACTATTGGACAACGCCTACTTGGAAAGCATTGGAGACAGGAGATGGGAGATATGATAAGATGGATCTTAGGGAAATGGGCTGTGAAGATGGGAGGTGGATGGAACTGGCTCAGGATCGTGTCCAGTGGCGGGCTTTGGTATTAGCGGTGTTGAACCTTCGGGTTCTGCTACCAGAATTAATTAATTAGTAAGATGGATCTTAGGGAAATGGGCTGTGAAGATGGGAGGTGGATGGAACTGGCTCAGGATCGTGTCCAGTGGCGGGCTTTGGTATTAGCGGTGTTGAACCTTCGGGTTCTGCTACCAGAATTAATTAATTAGTAAGATGGATCTTAGGGAAATGGGCTGTGAGGATGGGGGGTGGATGGAACTGGCTCAGGATCGTGTCCAGTGGCGGGCTTTGGTATTAGCGGTGTTGAACCTTCGGGTTCTGCTACCAGAGGGACGCCTATCAAACGATGTCTCTGAGAGCTATTTATAAGCTTTATGAAGAGCACATCTTAACAATCAGTTGCCGCACAAGTCCGCCCCGGTTAGGTCTGCTTTCTGTGTTGCCCTACCAACTGATTCTACGTTAACTTTTGTTCAGCGTCAAGCGATTTACGGCGGGCGATGTGGGCCCCGCTATGTGTGCTGCAGGCGACCTCTGCAACCCAACCGACCCCCGTACCCCCAGAGGGGGCATCAGTGTGGGACACGTTATGCACAGGGCATCAACGGTCGAATCAAGAATCCAGTGTATGTTGATGGAGACAGCGAATTCGGTAAGTTTGCCTGTGGTTCTGTATGGGTGTGAAACTTAGTCTCTGACATCAAGGGAGGAACATACTCTGAGGGTGTTTGAGAACAGGGAGGTTGGAGAAAACTGCATAATGAGGAGCTTCATAACTTGTACTCTTCTCCAAGTATAATTAGAATGGTCAAGTCAAGGTGGATTATATGGGCAGGGCATGTAGCATGAATGGGGGAGAAGCAGAATGCATATAGGACACTGGTGGAAAAGCCTGAAGGAGGCCACAAGACATAGGTGGATTGATATTATTAAAATGGATCTTAGAGGGTTACGATGTGATGGTATGAACTGGATTGATATGGCTCAAGATAGGGACCGATGGAGGGCTCCTGTGAACACAGTAATGAACCTTTGGGTTCCATAAAATGCTGGACAATTCTTGAGTAGCTACATAACAGGCAGCTTCTCAAGTAGGAACATAAACACATTGTGGGAGGAATGCAGAGTTTCAATACCATTTTCTTTTAATATGCATTTCAAAGTGACATACTTTAACTGTGTATCAACACAACTGTTTCTTGTGTAATTACAGGAGAGTACCCATGGCAGGCCGCCATCCTGAAGAAAGATGTCCAAGAGAGCGTGTATGTATGTGGCGGAACACTGATTGACAATCTCCATGTCATCACAGCGGCACACTGTGTCAAGACGTTAGTACCTCTCACCAGGCAGCTATGTAAATAATAGAGGGAAAGAAATGTCACATTTTGACAGAAACTTGGAACAGGTTTCTAGCCTAGCCTATTTTATGGTACAATACTTACAGGGGTCAGAATAATAGCAAGAAACCTCAGTCAAGAGATATCCAGTCTCCAGGCCTACCTAATTCTAAGCACGAGTCCTAGTCACTAATCCTACCATGTCTGCTACAAAGGCAGTAACATTATGTTAAAGCTAGGATCACTAGTTGTCACGTCCGCGGACACTTCAAGCACTTCCAAAGAGTTTCTAGGCACTCATAAATATTTTACAATATTCATAACAATTTGATGACGATCGCAAACCACAGGGTAACTCCAATTATCAATTTTCTGGACTTCATCCACCATCCCAACTGAGTACACATTTTATCTGAGGACAGACTCCATTCTCTGAAACACTTCAAATAAATTTTGGATGATTGATAGTGTCCAGAAAAATTATCAGTATATTATCATCAGATGCCTTCAGATCTACTTCACACAGTAATTTGTTCTTCAAGTGTTTGTGTTCAGGTGTCACATTAATTATGGTGTTTAGGTGTAAATAACAGTGGCATTTTCTAAGAAAATTGTATTATTTGTTAGATATTTTTTGTGAAACAGGGCATGTCAGAACAATATTCTGGAATATGTCATGATCAGGGCCCAGATTTTGATGATCTGAAAATATGTAAANGTGTAACAGGATGCTGAAATATAATAATGTAAAAAATGACCTATAAAATGACCGAAAAAATTTAGAAAAATGACATAAAGGAGAAAAGAAAGAACACTTTGCTTCCATGTTATTCACATTTCAGAAAACATATGAAGAAAAATTCCCTAAAATGGCCAAAAATCAAAAGAAATACCCTTAAAAGTCCAAAAATTTAGCAAAAAATTACCCCAAAAATGAAAAAATGACCTTAAACCTAAAAATGTCAAAAGTGACAAAAAATTACCTATAAAATTTACATTTCTGTAACCAGCAGCTCATATCCGAGATGGCATGTGCTATACTGTATGTAATTCAATTACGAGTATTTCAAGCCATATCTTTCTCTTCTGACAGATTCATACAGTTACTGCAATGAATTTTAAGTTTCTTCTGGTTGCCCATGACCCTGTGTTTCTCAAACTTGAATATTCTTGTTACAGGTACAATGGGCATGACCTCAGGGTTCGTCTGGGAGAATGGGATGTGAATCATGATGTTGAGTTCTATCCATATGAGGAACGGGATGTATATGCCGTCCACATCCATCCGGAGTTCTACGCAGGAACACTGTATAATGACATCGCTGTGCTGAGACTCACACAGCCCGTAGACACTGCCCGTAGTCCTCACATCGCCCCTGCATGTCTACCTGATCCCCACTCCGATTACACTGGCTCCAGATGTTGGACAACTGGTTGGGGAAAAGATGCATTTGGGGACTATGGCAAATATCAAAACATACTCAAGGTTTGTTTAACAACATACCAACGGCATTAACATACAGACACCATGAATTCTGTCCACAGACTGTGTTTCACATGGTTCTCACAAGAAAGTGACATGTGTCAAAGTTACGTTATGACTGGCAGTTTGTCTTAGCATCATGTCCCTTGAGGCTCACGGCCAGAGATTTGCTTATCCTTGCAACTGAACCCCTTGTGGCGGTCATGGTCCCTATGTAACACACTCTCTGATGAGAAGATGCCTTTGTCTCTTACAAATATGCTTGGCCTTTGTCAGCAGTGCATATTGCACATATAGAATGTCATTGGAAATTCTTCCTTTTGCACTTATCCAAGTCCTCTGTGAGTACACGCTTTGCAAAGCAGATCATGTCTTATCTTATGCTACAATGGCAGCTTAGTCACTTGAAAGGTCCTAAGCTTGACCGCCACCAAGTTAAAGTCTCTTATATTTTCTATGTCTCGGTTCACCTTGTCCTATGCTGTGAATATGTTCATTCTCATGATTTTCTATGACTTCTGCTTGTTGCCTCCACAATTTTATTGTATAATTGTATACATATGGAAGGTTGAAACCCGTGCGGAAATCGTGGACCGATGTGCACCTTGGAAAATTTCCAATGGTCCGCAGAACCTTGTTTTGTAGGTGCTGCAATTTGAAGAGGTAGGTGCCTGCCTTAATTCCAAGGTGGGGCAAGCATAAGTCATTACTGATATGATCAGTGACTTATGGAGGGTTAGTTCAGTGTATTAACCCAATAGTTTTTGTAGTAGATGTAATGTGTTTCCTGTGAGGTACAAATTAACCTTTTATAACACAGCAGGTTTGATGAAAAATGAAGACACATCATGAAAATGATTTTACACTGAAATACATCATAACGAGACTTCAACATACACATGCCCTAATATCAAAGTGACTCCTTCCAGACTGACATGATGTGTTCTGTGTTGTAGGAGGTCGATGTACCCATAGTATCACATCAGCAGTGCCAACTGCAACTACAACAGACTCGGCTGGGGTATGATTACAGGCTGCATCCAGGCATGATCTGCGCTGGTGGGGAGGAAGGAAAGGATGCATGCAAGGTAAATTCTATCAAAGCTGTTTCCTTTACATACTGCAGAGCCATTGGTTCAATTTCAGTTTATTTCAAGTAAGTTCACAGTGGCAGCAGAGAAGGTCTGTCTCTGAGTTTAATCAATTCTGCTCTATTAATCACCATTTCTCCACACTCGTCCATCACTGTCCCTTGAACTGTGTGATAGCCCTGACCAGGCAACTCATTATCACATTTTCAGTCTTTAAGTTCACAGCTTCATCTCAAACACAGCACTTGGCTGGTTACAGAGTAGGGACATTAGGCAATTCAACACAATTTTCCCTGCTAATCATCACTCCACTACTGTCCCATTCTCATCTATCACCACTTCTTGAGGTGTGCCATAGTCCTAACAAGGCAATGCATTATTACATCATTGGTCTTTTAAGTTGAAGACTTCACCTCTTCACTTGGCATTTGGCTGGTTTCTTTTTTATATATTCACCTCAGACGGCAAGAAAATATGTATTAAGATGATGTTCCTCTGAGATATGATATCATGTACCAAACAGCCCAGTGTGACAACACAGAAAACAATGATCCTGATATTTACTACTGTGAAAACCTCAGAAATCGTAATACATGCTGTTGTTCTGTAGGGTGATGGTGGAGGCCCCATGGTATGTGAGCGCGGTGGTTCCTGGCAACTTGTGGGCATTGTCAGCTGGGGTATAGGATGCGGACAACAAGGTGTTCCAGGGGTTTACGTGAAAGTGGCACACTATCTAGACTGGATTCGACACATTGTTAACAACAGATATTAAACTGTTGTCAATATCTGGACAATATAAGGGATTTAAATGCAATGAAATTCACTGGAATATGAACAATTACTCTAGGAATAATAGGCACAAGAGGAGATGAGTGAAACAATGAAAGCACCCAAAAACATATTCACAATAGTAGCTTCCATAATGCATACAGGAGAACACGAAGGAATGTAATGTAGATAAAAGAATGATTTTGGAAGTTTGTGGATGAAGTCCCAAACACACATTCTAAAAGCTTGGTGACTGTAGTTAAGACTACCTTTAGTAACACCGTGAAAAGTTTACAAAAAGTGTTTATGCTCCAGTTTCCTATCCAACGGATAGGATTCTGAAAGGTAAAGCAGCTGGAGCATTAAGCTAACCACTCACCTTAACCTAGTGCCAAGGTTAAAAATATGTAGTGGTGTTTCTAACTCCACCATTTCATACATCTTTGTTGCTTCGTGTTTAAAAACGGGAATACCTACATCAGACTTTTTCTTTATTAAGCTCACTTTATTTTTCACGGACAATTTTCAAAGTAATTTTAATGAATACCCTAGATTATATATGCAGATATAGCCTACTTATGCATATTTTGTTTTAATGTGATTTTCTACATATGATTTAAGTTTCTTTGTGAACTGTAAAGTACAGAAAATATTAGTCTAAAGCAAAAAAATTAGGGTTCGTAAATGGATAATTCAAATTGTATTAAAGTTAATTGAATTACAAATTTTCTTCATGAAAATTAAAGGTAATAAAGCAAAAGGAATAACAAAAAATTTTAAGTTGCACAGTTGCTCTTTGCAACACAACTGTCACGTATGTGTGTACGTCTGAATGTTGAACAGAATGTAACATTTTATATTCACATTTTCATATACATCTCTTCAATATCATGAGCAAATAATTTACATTATTTATCTGTTTATTACCCTATTATTTGTATTTCACTGACTGTTTTAATGTTCTCTGTCTGAAATATCTTTGACAGTGTGTCATCGTCAGATGGTGATGTTGATCATTATGTCATCATTAGAAAGTGACTAGTCTATTTTCAGCACATGACGGGAAGCAAAACCGCCCTATTGGAGATCTGTTGAACACACAGGACTTTCTGACATGCCCTGACAGATGTTTTAGACAAAGTACTATATTGTCAATATTCAGTTAATATTAGCAATACTCATTATCATAATTGTCATCTCATATTTTTCATTTATTTAATAAAGTTTTCCCGATCCATGGTAGCATTAATTTTCATTGAAAAGGAAATATAATGAACATGTGTTTGTATTTGAGATTAATATTCAATAATTCATACAAAAGTCCATCACTTAGAATTTTATGACTGGATTTTAAAGTATGGTTTTTGCTTTTGGTGGTATGCTCTATAGAATGTTAAAGACTTTCATCACCTCCTTTCATGTCCATCTGCTTTTCCCAAAAACATTTCTCACTAACTGTTTCGCTGTTTAACGACATGGTCATGCCCTAGCTGATAGCAGGGCCCCCTTGTCCAATCACAATGTTCACCTCCAATTCATCACTCCATGAGAGAGCCACATAACAGTCATCCCCCCACCCCTCAAGTTAATAAGCCTGAAAATGGCTACTGCATAATTTGCTGAAACACTGGAAAATCTTCAGCATTTTACACATCTTATAACCAGATGAAGTCCTACATTCCTCAGAACGTGTTTAAGTTAATGTTCATGTGTGTGTCGGTCAGATGACCCACATGAAAGTAGAAATGTCAAAGGCATATAAGGACAATACTGAAATTATATTCATCACATAAGACTCATTATCAAATGAAATTAGCTACAAAGGGAGAAGTTTGGGACATCTAAATAACCTGCGAGTTTAACAATAATTTAGTGACATTATTTTAAATCTTTCAGTTCTAAGTTAAATTTACCATCCTGTTATATGCTAAGCAAATCTCTTGTCAAATTATAAATTTTGATAAATTTTTACCATTTTTTTTAATAGAATATATAACGAATGTCATGTCTAAACATTCAGAATGAGATCAAGAACAGTTCACGAGATAGTAAATTCTATCACTTTCAAAAATTGTCTTCCCTCCTCTTATCTGATCTATTCTAATTACATGCCGCAAACACTCCAGCCTTCTCCTTTTCGTGACTGCTACTACAGCAGCAGTTTTATAGGACTCCCTCATTTCTTGGTTAGTTCTGTCTCCCCAAACCCCTTGCCCAGTTACTGGTCCCCACACTTGATTCAAAAACTTTACCTCTCACACATACTGAACACAAATATATCATCTTCTGTCATGGATTGCATTAATATGACAAGCATGAGTTATTGACACCATTTTCAAAAGCATAATAAATTAAACGTTACATTTATGACCATCAGTAAGTTACCTTTGAGTTAAAAGATTTATTATGACAAATCGTAAAATTTTTTAAATTCACAATATAGAACTTATTGCTGATATTTGATATGTTATGTGGGTTAATGGGCATTACGCTGTAACCCTTTACCACATTTATAATTCAATAAAGTTATCCTTCAGCTGCCTGGATCATGATACTGTAAATAGCATTATCATTTGGCAACAGTGTTTAATATTATTGTAACTCAAGTATGCAGTTGCAGAAACACTTTGGGTTCCTTGTACACGCCATTGTTTATTATATTTTACACTTATTTTATAAGAAAATTAATCTATATATCTGAATTTCTTATGGCACATTTTATATTGATACTTTTGGAAAAATAAATGTTCCTCACAGCTAAATGCTTTCAGCATGAATCCTAAGATCATTCAGCTAAACATTTGGTTTGGGTGAGAACATTATGAAATACTGAACCTAACCTAACTATGAAAAACAATGCCTTGTTCAAGAAACCTGGAGGGAAAGTAAGGCACATTATGTGAGCCTAAGCAGTTAATAACGATTGTATGTTTGGTACTTACGAGTTAGTGGCTGATCAAAGTAACTTTAAAACTCTGCTGCCATACTGTCAACCTTAGAGATTTATTTGCAAAAACATGACCAAACGCCTAACCTAAAATCTGCCTCCAACAATAAGACCACAAGATTGTTTTTTATTTTTAAAAATAAATTATCTGTAAACCTTATAAAATAGTATGCTGGTTATGTTCTTAAAAATAAACATTCAGACCCTTCTACGTAGGTGTCTGGTTTTGTTTTAAGAATGTTAAGCTCTTCGTTCCATTTTGGAAAAATTCACCTTTGGTTCTGTTCTTAAAAATTAAATATCTAAAAATATTCTGTGGTTAGGCTTTTCGATTGGTTTATAAAAATCAAGGCCTATGGTTTATTTAAAAAAAAGTTAACCTTCTACAGTTTGGCTTTTGGTTTACATTTTACAAATAAACTTCTATGTCTGATGGCACTAACATGGCAGACAGTATGGCACAGAAGTTTTAACGCTACTTGGGTCACCCATTAATACTTAAGTATCATATTTTTTTAATATGATATATTTTTGTAGTAGAATATAAATAAATGCTGTATTTTAACTCAACTTGAAATAAACTGTTATTATTATTAATATTCTTATTATTATGCATACATTTAACTGTGCAATATCGAATATGTCACTATTTATATATTCATAAATGTCCCTGAAATTTCATCTAATTATTATATTAAGGTTACTGTCTTCTAGCACATGATGCTGTGCAGTTTGGTAGATATCTAGAGAGATATCAAAGGAACCCACTCTCCTTATCTAGACTTCCTTCTTAATCCCTCTTCTTGCACCCCATTAAGTTTATCCTTTCTCTCTTCCACTTCTCTATTTTTCTCCCATATTCTGCACTTAAAGTCAGACCCTCTGAACTATTTCTCTTCTCTCAGAACATGACCATCTTTGAAATCCAGAAGGGTTACTTCCATGGAAACGCTAGAACTGACCGTTGCATAGGAAGCAACAATAGCGGTATTGTAATTCTAACAGTGAGCCGTTGCGTAGAGATGAGTCTCCACGGTTATAATGAGGGTTCATTGCATAGCAGCGACCGAGGTTATAAAAAGGGTTGAAGGCATTTGCCAAGTCAGTTGGAACCTAGATGCCATACGATATAGAAGAAGACAGCAATAGAATACTGGAGTATTGAGGAGAAGACAATCTTGGGACAGCCACCGCCAGAGACAGTTGAAAACCAACCACGGCCAAGGGTAGTTGAGACATCACATTGAGTACTGGGCCAGAAGTCAAATGACACAGCAAGTGTTGATAATTGTAAGGTGTGTAAGAGTGAGTGTCCAATAAATGTTTGCTAAATCCGAGACCCACGTGAAGTTATTTGTCATGTGTATGCCCAACACGTGACCATATAATCTTTAAAAGTGTTCTCCTTCTTAATGCTGGTCTGCCCCCAGTCCCACATGTGCCACCCCTCCCTACCACTCTTTTCCATGCTCAACCTACTCTTCTACCCTGAAGAAAGAAGTAGCTGATTCCTTCAAAACATTTGTACATATCTAAGAAAATAAATGGTGTGACATCACCAGAACATAATCTTAATACTCATCACCATGATAACTTCAAACCTATGAACAATTTAAATTCGTTTTGATAATAGAGACAACAATCAGTGCTGAACCTAGGGTTACTACCCTGAAGACATAGGCAGCACATTCTTGCGAAACTTTGCTACCTATATACAGCATGACATAGTGTTACATCCAGTAAGACTGTAATCTTCATTCATTAAAGGTGTTATACAGCTTGTCAAAACTTTCTTCTGCCCCATATGAAATTTGGCACATTAGACGAGAAGGCATGTAGTTTACATCAGAGAGAAATGCATGCAGAATTATAGGCAGAAAATTTTAAGGGAACAGACTACTTCAGAGACCTAGATGCAATCTGGATTATAATATTAAAATGGATCTTAAACAAACAACATTTGGACTGGATTCATTTGGCTCAGGACAAGGTCCAATTGCAGGATCTTGTGAACATTGTAAGAACTTTTGGGTTCGATAAAATATTAGGAAGTTCTTGAATAGAAGAGCAAATCGTGGCTTCTCAAGAGGGGATCCACCTCATGGAGCTAGTGAGTTAGTTAGTTAATTGGTTAGAGAGAAAGCTTCAAAGATATACTGATTAGGCAATTAATGGGATGGACTGAGTAATAATTTTTCTGAACATGGAGGACACAGGAAGGTCAGTACCGATTTTGAAATATGGAAACATCCAGAACGTTACCTATCCTGCATTAAGCAAACTTCACAACATGAAATTGATTTTCCTCAAAACTGACTTCGGTACACGGATCAAATATGTGTAGGTAAAAGTGAATCTTCATATCATTCAAATTGATTGAAGAAATTTATGTTCCTCACACTGTTTACTACAATAACTTATGTTGTACAGCATCAAAGTACACAATATATAAAATGTTTTATAAAAATTTAACAAACTAGCCTTTTAACAACATGGAATCATAATAAATTAAAACATCTCAATTTTAATGTAATTTTAACATTTTCATGAAGGTTTATAAGCTAATAAAAGTAATAGTGTCAGAAAGCAAATCACTATTACCACAGTCAATAACAATTTTGACTATGACTTTGTAAAGCTTTATGAAGGACTGGAAACAAATCCAG